CTTTTAAAATGTTCTTCTACACTGGACTACTAACTGAAAGGTTGGCAGTTCAAAGCCACTAGACACTCTTGGAAACCCTATGCAGGGTCACTATGAGCTGGAACCAACTTGATGGCATGGAACAAAATCAATATTAATGTTATAAAGAATATTTTCAGTCTTGCAAGGCTATCATATTTTTGTTGTTGTTGTTCAGTGCCATTGAGTTGGTTCTGACTCATAGTGGCCCTGTTTAGGGTTTCGGAGGTTTTAGATCTTCACAGGAACAGAAAGTCTCAGCTTTCTCCCACAGGCCATCATATAGATGTGCTATAATTTACATTGTTTAAAATTCCTGATTTTTTGATATTATAAATAATTGTTTTAAAACAATCTGGTAGCAAAGTGCTATTTTAGAATTCTTTTTCTGACATTTATGTCCTAGGCTAAGGACCATAACATTTTTAAAAAATAAATTTTCAGATTCTCTTGTAGAAATGTGTCCCATTTTACCCTTCAGCCAGTATACCAGAAAGACCATTTCCTGGTCATAAAAACAGTGGAGAGGACCAGCCTTCTGATCTTTCTGAAGTCGTGTTAGATGTTCCATTATTATATAGCCATGGATTCAGTGTTGAATTTGAAATTAATTATAAAGTAAATGACATCAGAGAAAATAAATCAATGGAATTTTCAAGATGTCTTTCTCATCTCAGGTATTTCCTTGAATGGATGTTCAGAGTAGTTTGAAGTTACAATGAAAAACAGTAGAAAAAAAAACAACAACTATTTTTCTACTTAAAATTAATTTTTCTAAATGGACTTAGAGAGATATGTTCATAATATGTCTAAGGAAAGAAAAATCTAGAGGAACACAGTTAGAAGGGTTCAAATAGAAAAGGACAATAATAGAAATGAGTGAATTAATAAAAGAATTAGGAAAACAGAGGCATATGTATTTCCTAGGTCTCTTAGGTGAAGTTAATCTGGCGCTGAGTAGAACTGCTAATTTTCTTTTAAGTTATAACCTTAGGAAACTCTTTTGTTCCTTGCTGGGATTAGTGAATAATGTTGACTCCCAGAGTAGCCCACCTAAGGTTGTTAAGTGCTGTCAAGTCGGTTCCGACCCTTAGCGACCCTGTGTAGGGTTTCCAAGGAGCAGCTGGTGAGCTTGAACCGCCGACCTCACGGTTCAGTTTATTTTGCAGTCCAGTGCATTAACCCACAACATCATACCAGGATTCCCACCTGTGGTTAGCAAAGTAAATATTTCAAAGTTGCACCCAAAAATGTAACGCAAAGGTTGTATGTGCAAACCCTCGCATAGATTGGTATGTGTTCTTGGGGGGTGATTTGTGTCTTCCTGGGTTTTGACAGTGTAATTGGATGTAGATTTTGGTGTGTAAAGAACTTCCTTAGATGAAATAATTGCCTTCCCCCCCACAGCTTAGGGAAAGCCAGATTTTTAATTTTTAATCTTGTATTGCTCAGTTAGATTTATTTCTGATCTGTTTTGTGAGTTTTTAATTTTCTAATTTCTCTGGCATTAACCATCCTTCCAGATGAGTACGCTTTGTGGCTAGGAAGCAAATGAAAAACTAAAGGGGATATTTCAGTTAATGCTTGTGAGCAGAGTTTCAGTGCACAGATCTTTAGAGATCTGGCACATGCACACACACCCCTGATATAAACTTGCTTATCCGTTTTATTGGCGTTGTGGTGTGGCACTGTGAGTTAATGTGCTGGACTGCAAAATCAGTTTGAACTGCAAAGTCAGCGGTTCAAGCTCACCAGACATTCCTTGGAAACCCTATACAGCAGTCGCTATGGGGTTGGAACAACAACAGCAACATACATTTTTTTAAGGACTCCTGGTAGTGTAGTGGGTTATAAATTGGGCTGCTAGCCACAAGGTCAGCAGTTTGAATCTACCAGCTGCTCTGTGGGAGAAATATGAGGCTTTCTGCTCCGGTAAAGAGTTACAGATTCAGAAACCCTGTAGAGAGTCTCTACGAGTTGGAACAGACTCCATGACATACCACCATACATTTTATAAAGAGTCTTTATTAGCTAAAACAACAACAACAACATCCAACTTGCTGTTGAGTCAATTCTGTTTCATGGCAACCACATGTGTATTAATTAATAAATTAAATTATCTAAACAACAATTTCTAATCATTAATTTTAAATTCTTTTTCTCCCTTCCCCTAAAAGAGGGTATGTGTGCTTTTTTAGGGTTATTTCAAAATGTAATGGTGGTGAAAGTGTTTTGAGAATCTTTGTCTTTAAGAAAATGTTACATTTGTAATATAGGACATTGTTGTTGTTGTTAACTGCCATCAAGTTGATCCCGACCCATAGAGACCCTGTGTAGGGTTTCCAAAGAGCAGCTGGTGAGCTTGAACCACCAACCGTGCAGTTCAAATGGCTTTGCAGTCTGGTGCATTAACCCATAGTGCCACACCAGGACTTCAATGTAAGACATACCCATCTAGAATTGAGCATCTTGGGAATGGAAATAAAAGTCTGATGTATTATTATTATTTTTTTATGATGTAGGACTTATGTGTGTTTATTGTATGAAAATGGACACAGTACTTTGGAATGATTTTTAAGATTTTATAAACTATATAGACATATCTCAGAAGTTCTGGTGTGGTGCTATAGGATAAGCACTGGACTGCTAACTGCAAGGACAGTAGCTCAAACCCTCTATCCGCTCCTCAGAAACCCTATACAGGGCTCACTGTGAACTGGAACCCATCCAATGGCATTTAACATATATAAGCCTGGGATGTTGCTGAGGCCATCTTCCCCCAAATACTTAGCAGCTATCTTCTCCATTCTTATTAAATGTTGTTGTTACTAAATGCCAGCAAGTCGGTTTCAACTCATAGCAACCCTGTGTAGGGTTTCCAAGGAACTGCTGGTGCGTTTGAATCAACCACTTTGAGCTTCAAACCAACCTTGAGGTCCAGTGCATTGTCCCACAGGGTCACAACGGGACTCCTCGTAGGAAGCTGTTGTTTGTTGTTGTTTAGTGCTGTCGAGTCTGTTCTGAACCATAGTGACCCTTCATCTCAAAACTCTTGACATTACTATTTCTACCAAGTTTCTGCATTTTTTGTATGTTTGATGTCTAAATTCCTTTCCTGATCTTATTTACATGAAGCATTTTTTAAGGAAACCACTTTAGATTGAATTATCTTGTGGGAAATAGGTGTGGCCTGGCCTTTATTTTCTTCAACCACTAAAACTGATAAAGACACACCTTTACCTCAAGGTGTTCCATGTGTCATTAGCATTTAATTATAATAAAATAGATTTATTGGATCAACTCAAGTAGCTGTTCAATATGAATGATTTATTTTTTGCTCATTGAATCTTGTTGACAATCACTGCCTGCCTTCAGAAACAGCACAGTCCTGACTGTCGTAGGAACACTGGTGGGTGTCTATTGAGTGTATCTATACAGAAGTAATGGTGTCCTGGTGAGGCGCTCTGGGCTAACATGTCAGACTGTAAAGCTGTTTGAACTGCAAGGTCGGCGGTTCAAGCTCACCAGCTGCTCCTTGGAAACACTATACATGTTGCTATGGGTCAGAATTGACTCGACAGCACTTAACAGCAACAACAAATACAGAAGCCATGAGCTCACATATCTCTTTTTACACAGTCCTAAAATGTTTTGTTATTTAAAGGTATGGTTATCAAAAATGTTTGTTGCCATATATGACCATCACAAATTAAAATCAAAGCTTGTCATTTTATTTATAGGGTTATCAGATAAGTACATTCCCTTATTGGAATTAACAGTTTGATATTTTTTGAAAGTTATGAAATCATCTCTAATTCATTATATCCTTAAAAGAATTATTGCCTCTTTCTTTATATACAGATGCCCCTCCATTGATTTTCTTCTTGTCACCAATATCATTTTTTTTCTTGTTTTCCTTTTTTTCTGTATATTATCTTTTCATATTGTTAGGAAATACTTCCAGGTTTTCCATCTTTTGCACATTATATGCAAAATTTTGAGGTAAGATTTAAATAATCTTGAAGCAGTGAATGCCTTCTTTCAAAACATCTTGCATTCCAGAGCTTTTAACCTCTGCATGAATTCATCCTTATATGTGCATTTCTTTATAATACCTTAATCTTGTTACTTCCTTGCCTTTTCTAATAGAACAAATAACTGATGTGTGTGTTATCAAAGAGCAATTGCAGTCTAAGCCACTTCCATAGACTTCGCCACTAATCTTTAACTGTAAGATGATGTCAATTAATTTCTTTTTAATAGCCCTAACAGCACTAATAAAATAAAGAATGTATAACAACTATGTTTTATTTCTGTAAATGTACCATGGAAAACCAAATTAAAGTTGGAAGGTTTATTTTTATATATTCAAATGCTAAGCTGTTTCAGGTCATTGATAAAGGTAAGTATTCAGTTGCTTTGCAAGCCTATAGACACATCACATCTTTTCTGAATGATTTCAAGCTACATAATCTAGTCCAGTTTGTGGTACATGGTCCAGACCAAACCCTAGCCACCGCCATCCAATCGACTCCAACTCAGACACC